TTGTCTAGTATTCTTCCTACACGGTATTGGCGCATTTTCTTGGAGGCCAGTGAACGCAGCAAACTATTCTTAACAAAAGTTTGGTATTTTAAGAATTGCCGAGATATAACTGGATTCTGAAATTCGCTGCTTAACGTTTTATGTGGATCATGGGATACTGGCTGCTTTTTAGAAGATCAAGACTGCTTTTAGCTTTCTTCTAAAGCATTACACGATAGGGAGGAAGCATTGGCCGTCTTTTCAGCGGTTGCATATTACTGACCAAGTGCTGTCGCTCGGGCCAGTTCGTCGCTGTTCATAAAATTTTGAGAAAATTCCCATATCTTTTTTGAAAGGGCAAGGGGCTAACATAAAAAGTTAATTTCACTTATTCACGGTTAGAATGGAGCTTCAATCGGATCCATTATTTGTGGAATTTTTAGTGTCCCAACTTAAAACACTTTAAATTTTTTTGGTGAAAATGTCTATCACTTAACGATATTTGCGCTATCAAAAGTTCTTCCAATCAAAGGCATAAGCACTAGCCTCTGCGGTGGCAGAAGCCAACAACAACCACCCACTGGCAAAGCTGACGACGGTCTTTTCTTTCTAGGGTTGCTTAGAAGCAAGCTGATGACGGGTTTGATTCTCAAGCGTACGCCAGTACCAGTTTACCATCGAAACGAATGAACAAACTAATTGTTCTTAGTGATCGCTGCTAAAGATGCTTGAAATACTTGAGAGCCTGGCTACTCATTTGGCTACATCTGTGCTGACAAAAGCGTTATCGCTGGAATTCACGGCAAAGCTTGAATGGCAATATTCCGGGAATTTTAAACTTGAAAAGTTATCCTGCGCTTCCTCTTGAAAAGGAAAGGACTGCGGGATGAATATGAGAGCCAAAATACGCGCTACCGTTTCTTACAGATGGATCGAAAAGAATTTCCGGGAAACGAAGGTGTCAATGTGAATCAGAATCTCAATCCGCAGTCCGGGGTTGATGTAATGGATACGTTCGCGGCATCAGATTACGTTGTAAGCAATCCTGAGAACTTATCTATACCGTTAACATATCACTTCTTTTGTCTAACAACAAAGACATATTCGATAAAGGACTATTTCTTCAGCTGGGCGACATGGTGCAAAGCAAATTAGGTTCTGAGATCTTGAGTGTCTTTTGCTCTCTCTACACCGCAGTTAGAGTTAAATCGTTTCGATGGTAAATTGGTACCGCCACATTCCAAGAAGACAAATCCACCATCAGCTTGCTTGCAAGCAGTGTTTGACAAAAAGAGCCACTGACAGTCTTACCGGCGTGTGGTTGCTGTTGACATTCGCTATCATTAGTGCAAATTCCAGAGTTACTTTTCACAAATGAATAAATGGGCAACGCACGGGCTGCCCGTGCGATATATATCGAGACCTGCAGTATATATATATATATGATGACCCCAAACAGATGTACCTAAAACAGAAATTCAAATAGAAGCATAAACTATACTTGCCTGACCAAATAATCGCTTCTTATCAGTTAAATATAAAACACAGAGTTCCCCGCAGGTTTTTGTCGCTACCGGCATCGGTTTTTCGGCAGATGCCTCTAGCTGAATTTCAGACTGGCCGCCAGAACTGTCAGGAAAAATCCCCTCAAAATTCCAATCTTCTAGTTTCTCACGTTCTCGAGTAATTAACTTACCCGGCAGGAACTTTTCACGGGCCTGTACTTAGATAT